AATACTTGAGATCCTACCAAGGCTGAGCTGAGTTCCTGTATTCAGAGTACAGCTGTTATCAAAACAGGGAAAAGTCATCTGAGCTCCCTGGAGCTTACCTTTCAGTAGGGACAACGGGCATGGCCGATAAATAAGCAGAGCCTGCTGTATAAGCAGGCTTCCGAGAATTCATTCAGCCAAGTGCCCCTATGGCAACTTTGCCATTCAGAAGCAAAGGATTGTTGGGGAGGAAAATATCAGGCTCTCTGGCTTCCTAATAAGAAACAGAAATAGCACCCAAAGCATAAGAACAATTCTTCAGGCCTCTTGCTGTCATGCTGTCAACTGGAATCCTGTTGCTAGGACACTGGCAAGTATAGAAAAGCTAGGGACACTTTGCAAGCTAGGGAGGTTTTTGATGGAGTGGTGTCCCGATATTCACATTCTGAATTCAGTTCTGAAATATGCACGAATAGAGATTAGCTAGAAAAGAAATATGCCTGTATAGTTGACTTTGAAATCATCTGAAGCCTGATAATATAATGCTATAAAAAGGAAGATAAAAAACTATTAAATTGAGGATGAGTTGACATTTTATAGTAACATTTTTAGAGTCTATTGTCAATTCTATCATGACATGACTGCTGCACTCACGAAGTCACTGCACTATGATTACTGCCCAAGACCCACACAAGATTGGGACTGTCAGCATTCTCATACATGGGCAAGGGACATATGAAACCTCATTCCCTCCTGAGAGTCTATGTGCATATAATGATTGCTGAAAAAAAAAGTTGTCTTTTCTTTAGTCATGTAGTCACTCATTAGTTGCCCATGCTCTGATAAATTCCTTCCTGCTTGTGCTTATATAAGCAACTGCAATTAAACTCAGTGGGTTATGAAAGCAGCCATTAAAGTAGAAGGAGAATTTATTGGAAAGAAGGGGCTTCTGTGGGAGGAGAGGGTGAGGGAGTAATGATCAAAAGTCACTATATATGTGAATAAAACTGTCAAATAGTAAGTAGAAACTCTCGTTTCTAGTTTATCAACTTTTTAGTAAGATCTATTCTTTCCCATAATTACCTCAAAAACCAATTGATCAATTATGAACCCAGAAAATACAACATTTCTTTGCTTTTACTCTGGCTTTAGTTTCTCAGGATAAAGTAATAACTGTTGTTACATTTTTTTGATCTGAATTTCTTACCTAAATAAAAACAGGGAGTTGTTATTTCATCATCAGGTAACTCAAAACAGAGAAGGCTTTAAACTTGAGCTTCTCTGAATGATGTTCAGCTCTTTTGCTTGACCTTGAGGTTCATCAAAGAAGCACCGAGAAATGACTCCAGAAAGCCTCAAGACACTCTAATCTAGATGCACAGCACTGCTGCTAAATCCTGCTCAAATATGGTCTGTGAATAGCAGGGATCATGGACTGACTTTCATTGCTACAGACAGAAGTAGACCATAGTAAGAAAAGTAGACAACTGTTGTGGCACATCTCTTTTATTTTACGTGGGAAATACACTCATCTCTATGGAAATTAACCACATGTCATCTGTGAACAGATGTGGAGTTGGAGACGTGTCCACACTCGGTACATCATCGTGAGCTGTTGAGAACTGGAACAGCTTGATACTGTGTGCCTGACATACTCTCATTACTGCTAGATCTCTGCAGATGCTTACTAGGAGAGAGTAGTACCGAGGCCCCAGATTCATAACAATTCTCAA